TGAGATAAAGTCGATTTGATTTTTAGTGTGTCCATCTGGTGAAATCCATGTCGCTTTGTGGATATCTTTGTGCCTGAACACACTGCCTCCAATCACCAAATCGTTGAATGCAGAATTCTGCAAACAATTCTCCATTCTCATTCATTTCACCTAGTGCCTCTCGACCCATGGTTAGTTCTCTTCCCGTGTTGTCCCCTCCCAGTTTGGCATTCATGTCGCCCATCAGAATTTTGATATCGCCAACTGACGTCTTGTCCAGTGTTGATTGAAGTTGTCTGTAGAAATCCTCCTTTTTCTCTTGCTCTGCATTATTTGTAGGTGCATAACATTGTATGATTGTGACCTTTCTTCCTTTTGAGTTGAATCTTGCTGTCATGATCCTGGAGGAGATTGGTTCCCACTGCATGAGAGCCTTCGATGCTCTTGAGGACATCATGATAGCCACTCCCTCAGTGTGCTCGTGGTTGGCGTCTGGGTGACCGGAGTAGATTATTGATTCTCCAGTTGACAGTTTGGAGAGTCCACTCCCATTCCATCTGCTTTCGCAAATCCCAAGCACTTCGATGTTATACCTTCTCATCTCCCTTGCAATCTGGGCTGCCTTACTGGGTTCAAACATCGTGCGGACATTCCATGTCCCCACGTTTACTTTCGCTTTCATCGAGAGAAGACACATCGGCCAATTGGCTTCCCGAAGGCTTTCACCAACTGGCGTCATTTCGCCTCTCCGATTCCAGCGGGGAATAAGTTTGTTTTCATTTTTTATATTTTGTTTGTGCTTTGAAGTTTCTTTAGCGGTTAGATTTGTTTTACGGGGTAGGGTTGCTAGCCCTATGCCCAACCTTCCCTCTTTACCCGGGCTTAGGACCGGCTAGTAACTAGTAAACTAGTTAACCAGGCGAGGTAAAGCAGGCTACCATGTTCTTATTGGTTATTCATGTTGGTTACAGTAGAAATGTATCCAGTATTTAAAACCAACAGAGAAAACATTCTCATCTATAATTAAGGGAATTTAAGTTTTAGATATTCATGTTTACTTTTCGAAAGTAATCTCATATACAGGCTTATTTCTTTTTAATGTATTGATAGAAAGCAAAATGCATATTTATATTTAGAAGTAGTATTGATCATGGACTAGACTGATATTAGTTGAGGAGCCATTGAAAATCTGGGAGCACTGAACAGCTGTTTCATCTGACTAGTATGCGACTATTCAGCAGTACACACCCACAACCTGGCTAGGGATCGAACTCAGGACCTTCAGGTTTCACGGCAAATGCTTTAACCAGTCAAGAATGCATACTTTTATCTTTGTTACAACATATAATTGAAAAAGATTGAAAATTGAATTATTTCTTGATTGGTCAACTAAGTTTTGTTAGACATCAAACTATATTCCATAATCTAGACATTTTTTCACCGACCTATGAGTGTCAGGGGATTGGAATATTCTGTGATATCACGCAATAAACATGCATAGATAATATAACTAGTCTTTAAGTATCATTTTTGGTTTCTAATGTAAATATATAAACTTGCATATTATTAAGTACTTATCATCACTACGTTGAGTTACAATATCTGCAGATGAGTACTGCACAACGGAATGTACAAGTTCAAACTGAGAGGATGCATTTTCTAATTATATTCAGAAAATGAAGAGAAAATGTATGATATAGTGAAGGGTCAAGTTGTTAGCTAAGAGGTCAAAGATAGTGTGTTGCTCATCATTGTATTAGAGTTCAGTTATTAAGGTAGGTTCAACTATTTCTACGCTTCGATCTTGTATCTTCTCGTCAACTTAAGAGGCTGAGAAGCGAGGAAGAAATCGATTATTCATGATGATATTCATCATGGACTGACATCAGTTGGAGAAACTTCTGTCATTTCACGATATATTACTACCATCATTCAATGTCATTGTTGAGTATTTGTCTTCACAACCACAAGGTTTACCACTGAACGATGACCTTGGGTGTTGGTCGCGCTATATCGTGAATTGACAGAAATTGGAAATATGAACCATTGGATTCTAATCCAGTGACGTAATAGCAAAGTGTTGACAAAGGGACCTAATTGTTATGGGTTTGATCTCAGGTGGCGTCATGGGTGCTCACTGCTGAAGAGTTCAATACTGGGACGAAGTTCTCAATGTTTCTCCAACTGATGTCAGTCCATGATGAATAACAACTTCAAATCAATAACAATTCCCACAAACCCCCAAAATGAATACCTTTTTTGTGATTATAAGCGACTTGAAATCTGATAAAGATGAATTTCTTCCTCCGTTATATCTCTGATCTCTAAAGTGTTAACTGAAATACCTCATGAAAGGAGAAGTGCTCGAGTGAAGGCTTCTTTCGCCACATTATGGTTTCTTTCTTTGATTCAAATAATAATCAAGTGAACTTCATGAGATCTTCTACCAATCAACTTTTTTCGTTAGAGAGAGTAATGATCAAAGATGGATAAAAACCATATTCCCTATTGTTCTATAAATGGAAGAGATTAGTTACTTCAAATATTCTAAGAGTTCGGTTATTCTTATCTAATTCCTTCTAGTTAATCTCATAATCATTCGAGGAAAACTAACTGAGAAGTTGTAGAGTGTGGAAGTAAACAGAGGGGTACTCCTTTTCGAACACAACCAATAGGTAAAATATTCATCAATTGAATTCTGACAACAGGTACTGTAATCAGTGATTGAGAGATTATTGAGTTGGAATTCTCTGTAGATCAACTGTTGATAGACAGCTTCAAGCCTATTTTAGTCCTTTTCTAGTTGATTTGTGGGCTTGTTTAATCGTCTTTTCAAACGATTCAAATGATAAAGTGGACACCACTTCTTGTGGTAGTTAGTTTCAGTAGCTGATTACTGGATGCAAGAACTAGTAGTACTGTATGAAGACTACGTTGTTGTTTTGCTGTTATGTCCTTTTGCTCTGTCCAACCGAATAGAAAGGAAAAGAAAGGATAGATCAGGTCCAAAGTCACTTCTTAAAATCCTGCGTAACTTCATTAGATCTCCACTGTGTCTATAAATGGAACTTAGACAAGAGGTTCAGCTCCTTAAGTTGTTCTTTTTAGGTCAGGCTACCAGTCACAGGAATCATTTTACTGGTTGTCCACTGAACTCATTTCACGTTTAAATCAGTATTGGTTACAGTTAGTTGAACAACCTATATGATGACAATTTAGTTTCTTCAAATGATTACAAATTATTTCGTCAGTATCGAAAATGTGGTGAAGGTGTAGCTGCCTTTATCAACACTCAATGATGTTCATCAAATTGTACATGTTTTGTGTATTCTGATGACGGTATAGACTGTATCACTGTTAAGTATCGTCCCAAACATTCTGATAAATTTTTCATTTACATCACCAGTGTTTACGTGATTCCTGGTTGTATCTATTCTGATTTATTTTAATTTGGTATTCATCGTGGACTGACATCAGTTGGAGAAACAATGGAAACCTGTGGGCACTGAACAACTGTTTCATCTGACCAGTATGGGACTCCACAGCAGTCAGCATCTTAAGGAAGCAGAATATGAAGCCGCATCATCCTAGAGATACCAAAGGATGCACTGGAATCAAAACTACCACCGGAACAGGCTGACCGGCTTCAGGAAGTACATATCATGTCCGGACCAAATTGCAACGCTGCGCATCATCATATGACAAAGCATAGAATGGCAGACAACACACTACCTCAACTTCATCGATTTTCAAAAGGCCTTCGAGAACATCGACCGAGAAGTAATTCGGAAACTGCTTCAACACTACGGTTATAGTGCCACAAATCTTTACCAACCTCATTCAACAACTACATGCTAAGTAATCGACAGTGGAAAGCTCACTGACTCGTTTGAAGTGAAGACAGGAGTGAAACAAGGCTGTCTACTATCCCCCATGATATTCCTGATTGTAGTGGACTGGATCATGCAGCACACAACTGTGAGGAGTGAGAAGAGGGGGATACGCTGTACCGGGGTAAAGAACCTAGATGATTTGGATTTCGCCAGCGATGACTTGTGTCTAGTGAAGCACAAGCTTGAATATCTACAGGCGAAAACTGACAAGTTGGCAAAAGAGGCAGCGAAGACGGAATTCAGTTGAATATAGAGAAGACAGAGGTGAAGATACCGCACCACCAAGAACAACAAACTCCAATCACCATCAATAGGAGAAACTTAAAGTAAGTAACCTCCTTCAACTATCTGGGAAGCACTGCTTCAACTCCAGGCGGCACAGGCACAGACGAGGATGTCAAAGTCAGCCAGGATCGGAAAAGCAAGACAGGCGTTCATTGACCTGAAACCAGTGTGGAGATCTTCTGCACTGCACTCAGCATGTGGAACAAGATCCGGATTTTCAACACCAACGTCAAGTCTGTGCTTCTGTATGGCTCAGAGAATTGTCGCGTTACGAAAGGGATTTGCGATAAACTACAGACATTCATCAACAACTGCCACCTAAGGTCGCTCGCTACTGAAGATCAGATGGCCAGAAAGAATAAGCAACAAGGAGCTCTGGCAACGAACCAACCAAGAACCTATCACCCAACAAATATGCAGTTGAAGGGAGTGGAGATGGATTGGCCATGCACTGAGAAGGCCGACTGGAGACATCACGCGTCAGGCCAGGCCCTCAAGTGGAATCCCCGTGGGAAGCGACGAGTTGGACATCCGAGGGTGACATGGAGGAGATCGTGGAAGGAGGAAATGAGAGCTTCTAGGCTGTCGTAGAGCCAGGTTCAAAAGATTTCAGGGAACAGAGTTCACTGGAGACGTGCTACTGAAGGCTTATGTTCCACTAGGAACCCAAGGGAGTAATAATAATAATAATATATAGAGGTATCCGCGCAGAGGTCCATATGCCAACAGAGACCGTTCAATTTGATCCAATCAACGACGTGTAATATAAAAGCAATTATACTAACTTATTTATACCCATTAGATTTTATATGAAAATAGTTCAAAATCATCTCCTTCACTTACCTGATCGTTGAAGGTACTTCCAATGAATTTATCAGTTAGTTCATATTGTGTTGTTTCACTAGGTTGAATATTCTTCAAGTAATTTAACGAATCTTCAAGTTTTAATATTCTACATATTTTAATGATAAAGATATTTTTCATAATAGATTATTGTTACTTTGTATCAGATGAAAAAAGCTAGAAACATGTTTAACCGATCAAGTGTATAATTTATATCCATCATATAAATCGTAGTAATCAGCATCTTCCTCTAATCTCCTAATGTTGATCCACCAGTAGTACATTCTGCTAGTTATCGGTTGGAGGTTACAGTCTTGTAAAGGAGAACATCACTAAATGAGAAGCAGGTACATTCAGCTGACGAGTTTCAAGTAGAACGAACGCTCATCCTGTATCCCACTGATAATCAATATCCATCATTACTATCAAATTAAAAAATTACCGGTATATCGAGTCATCCAATCAGGAGCGTATCCTCCAATAATGGTCGTTCAGTTTGATCCAATCAATGATACAAAATTATAAATTTTAACACTAAAACTTTACTTGCTACACAAAAAGTGACTGTCGAGTAGTTAACACTATGGAACTGGAAGTGATTGATCCTCGGTCAGAGTCCTGGTGCATAGGTACACCTAATTAATAAGTCTCAAACGGGAAGAAACATAAGTCCTCAATTCCAACTCTAGCCACTATGCATCATTACATCCCTCTAAAGTTTTCTTTCGCATCATTTAAACCAGTTCAATGGAAACTGTGGGAAAGGGGAGTGTATATATTTACAGTGTGGATTGTACTATACTTACAGCATTGAACAATGTTACTCCAAGAATATTTATATAGAAAAGAATCAAATTAACAATGTAGATATATTTTTTTCTTGTACAACCACACTATTTTTAATCTCATAATCTTGAAATTATTACACAATGAAATGTGTACAACACTTTAAATCGATCGTTTCCACCGACTACTATTAAGGTCAACTAAACCATCTGTTCAAAGTTTAAACTCATACAGAAGTTGAACAGATAAAGTTTAGGAAGTTGATTTCTACATAAACTAATAACTTTTAAAACTAATACAAATGAAAGAGGTCTGTTTCATCCTTAAGTTGATTAGATTATTATTACTATTATTTATTTTTCCCTTGGGTTCCTAGTGGAACATAAGGCCTCAGTCGCACGTCTTCATTGCGCTCTCTTCTCTGCAGTCTTCTTCATCTGCCGCCACGACTGCTCACAAACTTTCATTTCTTCCTCACATTATCTCCTCCATGTCACCCTCATCCAGGACGCCCACCTTGTCGTTTCCCATCTCCGTTCTACTCGAGGGCCCGGCGCGTGATGTCTCCAGTCGGCCTTCTCAGTGTATACCCAACCCATCTCCACTTCCTTCTGCATATGTTTTTGGGTGATAGGTTCATGGTTGGTTCGTTGCCAGCCAGCCAGCCAGCCAGCCAGCCAGCCAGCCAGCCAGCCAGCCAGCCAGCCAGCCAGCCAGCCAGCCAGCCAGCCAGCCAGCCAGCCAGCCAGCCAGCCAGCCAGCCAGCCAGCCAGCCAGCCAGCCAGCCAGCCAGCCAGCCAGCCAGCCAGCCAGCCAGCCAGCCAGCCAGCCAGCCAGCCAGCCAGCCAGCCAGCCAGCCAGCCAGCCAGCCAGCCAGCCAGCCAGCCAGCCAGCCAGAGTTCCTTGTTGCTTATTCTGTCTGGCCATCTGATCTCATCTTCAGTACCGAGTGAGCGTAGGTGGCAGCTGTTGATGAATGTCAGTAGTTTATTGGAAACGCTTTCGTGACACGCCGAGTCTTTGAACCATATAGCAGCGATGACTTGACTGGCATCAGTGTTGAAAATCCGGATCTTGTTCACGCTTTATGCTGAGTGTAGAAGATCTGCACACTGGTTTCAGGTTAATGAACACGTGTCTTGCTGTCTTTCTGATCCTGGATGGCTTTGGTATCCTCGTCTGTGCATGTGCCGCCCCCTGTAGTCGAAACGATGCTACCTAGGTAGATAAGAGAGAACACTTGCTTCAGGTTTCTTCTGTTAGTGGTGATTGGTGCATGTGGTTGAAGCTGTTGTTGTCGTTGGTTGGGTATCTTCATCACCTGTGTCTTCTCTATATTCAACTGAATTCCCGTCTTCGCTACCCTGCCCTGCTCTGCCCTGTCTCTTCTGTCAACTTGTTAGTTGTCGCCTGTAGATATTCAAGCTTGTGCTTCACTAGACACAAGTCATCGCTGGCGAAATCCAAATCATCTAGGTTCTTTACCCCGGTACAGCGTATCCCCCTCTTCTCACTCCTCACAGTTGTGTGCTGCATGATCCAGTCCACTACAATCAGGAATATCATGGGGGATAGTAGACAGCCTTGTTTCACTCCTGTCTTCACTTCAAACGAGTCAGTGAGCTTTCCACTGTCGATCACTTGGCATGTAGCGTCATCATATAGTTGTTGAATGAGGTTTGGTAAAGATTTGTGGCACTATAACCGTAGTGTTGAAGCAGTTTCCGAATTACTTCTCGGTCGATGTTCTCGAAAGCATTTTGAAAATCGATGAAGTTGAGGTAGTGTGTTGTCTGCCATTCTACGCTCTGTTCTATGATGATGCGTAGTGTTGCGATTTGATCCTCACATGATTTGTACTTTCTGAAGCCGGCCAGCCTGTTCCGGTGGTAGTTTTGATTCCAGTGCATCCTTTGGTATCTCTAGGATGATGCGGCTTAATATTCTGCTTGCTTTAGGTGGAGAGGGGTGGGGCATGATTCAGTCCCAGTTCATGGAGACTTAGGTCTCCGTTTTTTGGAAGCTTGACAATGTGGCCCTTCTTTCAACCCGCAGGTACATTTCCTTCCTTCCAGAGCTTCTACAACAGTGGTGTGAGCATGTCCGCTGTTATCTTTGAGTCTATTTTCAGTACTTCTGGAGGAATTCCATTTGGTCTTGCTACTTTATCAGATTCCAGCAGTTTTATGGCATTGAGGACTTCTGCTTTTGTCAGAGGGCCTGTGTTCACTGGTAATTCTGTGGCTGGACTACTAATTGTGTGTTTCTGGATGAGTTGCAGTTGGTGGTGGTTGATTCAAGAGCTTTTTGAAGTGGTCTGTCTATTGTTTCCTGAGTTGATTAGATAGTTTTATAGAAATCAGATGACATGTTTAAGGATGAATTAGGGTTGATCATAGAGTGACCTAGAATTGGAAAATCTATGAAAATTGGCAAGGTATCATTGTGAGATTTCAACTGAAGGACTCAAATTTTACTACTCGATGATTTTGTGATGCGAGTTGAAATGATTTCATATCATATCATATCATATCATCAAGCATCCTTTAATCACTAAAGATTTTTCCATTGATATTGGTTTAAAATGCATGTTATACACAAATATACTTGTGTATACTTGATTAGGGTAAAAATAATAATTGGAACAGGATAAAATGGATCTATATTATCCCCCTTGATATCTTGATAACAGCTTACAATCTACAGTTTCAATGAAAACTTGACATACTTTCATTTAGAATGTTATCAAATAACTGATCTTTGAATATTTTGCTTACTAACTTACTAATCTAATGACTTACTTAATCTGTCTTATATTTTTAACTTCTACAGAAGTTTGGTTTCTGTCATGATTACTGTTTTCTAGAAACTTCAACTATGCTGGAGAATATTTATAGCCCCGGTGCAAGGTCTTGGCTGTATTGTGTTCTCTGAGCTGGATTGCTTAGTCATGGAGCTTTCATAGTCTTTCTGGACAACATTATCAGCACTAACTTCAGTATGAAGAGAGCTGATAGTATCTCTCCATGAGTGATTTAGTAGCTTGTCTAGACGAAGTGGTCTCTGATTGGTTGTTTCCTTTCATTGTTGTGTCATTGACTGACTGTATAGACTTTCCAGTTACCCGTTCCTCTGCTTGACCTCTGATATTTCTGTCGTGTATCATTTTTCTTAATGGTTGCGCTGATAATTTCGTCTAGAAAGACAACGAAAGCTCCAGGATTAAACAACCCAGTTCAGAGAACACAATACAACCAAGATTATTTCACACATGTTGTATAAAAATGGATATGATGAAAGCATCAACAAATGCTGGAAAGCTGGTAACCCAAGTGTACAGGGAGCCAACACACACTGATCAAATCCACAAATACAGTAGCAACAACAAAACTACACACAAAATTAGTTGCATGCACACTATATTCAAAAGAGCAACAACACAATGCAGTACAACAACTTCATAGAGAAACAAAGAAAATCACTTGATCTCCATCCTGAAGAAGAACGGTTGGCAACCCACAAAACTTTATCACAACATGCCTATCCCCTACATCATCAACTACAAAGTTATCGACAGAAATCAGCAAATGCATCATTCTACCACACATAAAGAATGTATCAGAGGTCATGACAAGATTACTGAGATCACTTAGTGGAATTCGTGTGGCCACTCACAAACCAACATATTCTCTCTAAACACTACTGTGCAGACCAGAGGATGCAACAACCAAAGAGGATAAACAGAATATCATTTACAAAATCAACTGGAACAACTGTAGTCAACACTACATTGGACAAAGTGGTCACCCTCTCTTCGCCTTCGTTTGCATGAACACCAATCGCCTGGTAAACATCATGACATTTCACCACTCATCTCAATGCATGTGGATAATAACGTCGATATGTAATCAATTTTGGCAATGTAGAAATTTTAGGCGGAGAGGGGAAACACAAAAGATATCAGGGAATTCCTAGGAGCTTGGCATTCAGGTCGGTCAGTCAGTCAACAATTAACAGATGTATAGGGATAGACCCAATCTATCAATCAATGAGAAAAATGATACACGACAGAGACGTCAGAGGTCAAGCAGGGGAACAGGTAACAGGAGAGTCTATACAGTCAGTCAATGACACAACAGTCAGAGGCACTGTATAATACGGCTTGAAGCTAAACATCTGGATTTTTGAACTCCATCATCCAGAGGTGATAATTTTGTTTGCCAGCATCAAGCGGAATTCCAGTTCATTTTGTCCTGCATTTTCACAGGTCGTGATAAAATTGTGGTCAGTAAGTGTTGGCTTTTACTGGCCAATTTCGTAGAC